GGAACTTACCAGTTTCTAAAAAATGTGGTGGGCAGTGGAGAGACCCTCATGTGTGTTGGCCATGTTCTTGGGTGAACAAGTGGGGAGATGGTGGGAGAGGGAATCTGAATACTTTAGATTTGAAAAAGTTGCTAAGACAGTCAAGTGGAGAAGTAAACTATTCAAGTGGACAAGAAAACCGTTGGGAGAGAGCGTGGAGAGAAGCAAGGAGAGCTTGGAGAAAAGCAGGGTGGACCCAAAGAAAAGTCAACATTTCGGATAGTTTAGAATGAAAATATGTCTCTTTCTCATTTTTAACTTGAGTTAGAGAAAATGCCCCATTTTATTAATAGCAATCATGTATCACTACACTTATGAAAGACAGTCCCTGCGTCTTCTCTTCACTGCTTGCAGCCGGTCTGGTCAAGCCTGAGAGCTGATTCTGCTAGTGCCCACTGGAGTTGTGGTAAACTATGGGGGACTGTTTTTGGCAGATTTTACCATAGTAAAATGTAGCATCCTGAGTTAAAGCCCCTGGGTTTAGAGGCTCAAGTCACCCACAAGCAAAAGGTTTTATTTCTCATGGTTTTTTTCCCCTTAATTTTCTCATTCACTGCAGATGACTCATACTCTGAACTTCTTCGAAATAAAATGCAGGTACTGAACCATACTTTTTCTCTATCCAAAGGAGAAAAAACTTTAAAATTGTGAATGACTTTTAGAGTGGTAAAGGCTAATTTTTATAAGTGGGTGTTTTCTTCTAGACATATTGAAAGCACGAGCAAAAAGGCCACCTGTCATCACGTTATGGGTTGGTGTAAGGAAACGGTAGTTTTGAATCGGCCTTTGCTCATAAAGCCTTCTAAGAAATCTGAACTCAGAATGGCAGAGCTGGCAAGGCCCTGGGAGGCCACCTGCACCCACCCTGTCTCAGGCCTCCTGACGGGAAGCCCGCGCCTGCAAGCTCACCACTCACTCCTCCCTTGCCAACAAAAGGTCTCTTCTTAAAGCCCACTTCATTTTATTTATGTACTTCTTAGAGATGAGGTCTCACTCTGTTGTCCAGGCTGGAGTGCAGTGATTTGATCATAGCTCACTGTAGCCTCAAACTCCTGCTTAAAGCCTTATTTTAGCAAAAAAACAATTCCATGGAGGCTGAGGGGGGCCTTCCAGATTCAACTGCGCATGGCAAGGGCTCTGGGCAGCGGCAGTGCAGGACACAGGATTCGGCTTCGCATGGCAAGGGCTCTGGGCAGCGGCAGTGCAGGACACAGGCCACGGGGTGGTTTTCCAGACGTCTCGAGTGAGAAGTGTGACGGAAGGCCCTCCCCAGGCCAGGGTACGAACTCCTGTCCCACCCTCAAAACACTATCGGTCCAAAAGACTCATGCTGGGCACTCTAGAAAGGCATCCGACAGAGAGCGAGAGATGCTCGTTTGCCCAGGTTCGCGACAAGACTATTCTGCTCTTTCCTGGCTATTTTTCCTGCCGATCACGCTGGAGCTAAATCCCCAGGGACCATTGTGTAGGGTGACTCTTGGTTGGGAAGAAAGGGAAAAAGTGAAAAAAGCAGGGCAGCGTAGGGCAAAGAGGATGTTTTGACCTGGTCTCGTTGGAAATATACACATTCTTGATATCTGTTTACTTCCTGTGACCAAGACTGTAATAGATAGATAAGAGTGACAAGTTTTACAAGTTGAGACAATGCAAAGGGAAGAGAACTTGGATTTACTGAGTCATCAACAATGGTGACATGACACCAATTTCAACAGTGAGCCCACATGCTACATATGCTACATGCTTGAGTGGAAGAGAGTGAAGGGAGGTGAGTGGGCCTCAGCCCGGAATGCACTGGAGACTTGCTGGAGGCACAGACACAAGCTCCAGACCTAGGCCCCAGCCCCAGAGCCTCTGAGGTAACGGCAGACAGCATAAACGACCAACAGAAATAAGACTGCTGGAGCACACAAGGGTTTGCTGAACCCTTATTCAATCCTGCTATGCCCAGCATCTGTTTAATTCATGACCAAGATGCTGAGATGGAGGAAGGACGGCCAGAGCAAGAGCAGAAGGAGCCATCAGACACGAAGGCTGGCTGGCCCAAAGGATGCCGGGACATGCTTCCAAAGCAAGCTTTGTTCACAAAACAGAAGGCATTTTTTAAAGAGACGGGGTCTCGCTATGGTACCCAGGCTGGTTTTGAAATGCTGGCCTCAAGTGATCCTCCCACCTCAGCCTCTTGAGTAGCTGTGATGACAGGTGTGTGCCACCACACCTGGCCACAAGATAGCATTTCTCAATGGAATGATGTTCACAGCAGAGTCCTGTTTCAGACACAAAATTATCTCCTTGAAAAACAAATTGTGTAATTAAATTTCTTGTTCATTTAAAATGAGCTGTATTTTTATCCTCTCCCAAATCATTTTAAGGATACATAGCTGACAAAAGAAATCTGGTCTTCATAAATTCCATGAATTCTCAGTGTCCGACAGACTTCCAAGTCTAGCCCAGCTTCAAAACCACTACGTGAACCTGAGCACTGCTCATCATGAGTCCCGGACCCTTGTTGGCTGATCTGAGTAATCAGACTCATTAGCTTACTATTCTCAAGCAAATAGATAGTCATTTGACCTTAATAGGCATGTTTTTTACATTCAAGGTAAAAATGTAAAAGTTGGATCAGGGTGTTATGAAAAAATTACTGAAGCACTAAGGCTGAGAAAATGTAGAGAAACTAGAATTGAATGAAGGTGCTCTTTCCTCCTGCCTAGAAGGTCAGAGCAGTAAAAGTCAGAGATATGTAGGAAACTAACTTTAATAGCAAGTGACAAGAGGCAAATCTGTAAAGCCAGTTCCACACTGTCCTTGAGTTCTGAAGCGAGGGTGAGGCAAGGCAGCCTGAACATCTGATACCGGGGGGGGTCTCACCCAGCTGCCAGAATGATGCACGCCATGGTGTGCAGAGAGGGGCCATGTTTAACTTGCTCGCTGCATATCCTTCAAGTCTGAACAGCTCTTATACTGAAAAGAGGCTCAAAAGGAGAGAGTGGATGGGCAAAAGCATGTGGATGGCTGGCATGGACACGTTGGCACATGCCAATGTCTTTCCGGTCGCGGGGACAGCACCCCTCTGCACACACAGGGCAGGAGAACGGGGAGGACTGTGGGGCTGAGCAGAGGCAAGCCTGGGTCTCTGCTTCCCAGGGGGCAGAGGCCTCCTGCTCCTGCGGTTCCTATGGCTTTTGTTGGACTCCACGTCTAAATTCTCATCCCTTATTGCCTGACTTTTTGATGATGGCCTCTGTCTCCTAAGATTCTGGTCAAGCTGCCTAGTTTCCTGGATGTGGACATCACCCATGCCCTACCGCTTCCTACCCTTGTGGTTGAAGACGCCCTCCATTTCCATGTTACTTCTGACCCACATCTGCTGTCTGTTGCTGTGCAGTTCCTAACACTGCAAGGGAACAAACATTCTTTTTTTTTTTTTTTTTGAGATGGAGTCTTGCTCTGTTGCCCAGGCTGGAGTGCAATGGCACGATCTCTGCTCCCTGCAACCTCTGCCTCCTGGGTCCAAGCGATTCTCCTGCCTCAGCCTCCCGAGTAGCTGGGATTACAGGTGTCTGCCACCACGCCTGGCTAATTTTTTGTATTTTTAATAGAGACGGGGTTTCACCGTGTCGGTCAGGCTGGTCTGAACTTTTGACCTCAAGTAATCCACCCGCCTCAGCTTCCCAACGTGCTGGGATTACAGGCGTGAGTCACCATGCCTGGCTGGGAACAAACCATCTTATGAGTTTCCTTGCATTACAGGAAATAAATAAATAAATACATAAATAAATAAAAAAGGGAAATAAGAAAAAAAATGGATACAGTTCTGAGCCCCTAACCACTGGCTGGCGTAAGTTCACAGCAGGTCTTGCTCATTAAGAAGCACCTTCTTGGTAAACATAGGGCATTAGAGGGTTTGTGCGGGGCAGAGAGTGACTTTTCAGGTACAAGAATGTCAGAGAGTATCATAGAGGAAAAGCAAAATGGTACAACATAGCAACATTCAAAAACCCAACCTCCACCAGAAGTTTTCCGGACAAAGCCAAGTGTGATGAATGCTTAGTTCTTTCGCCTTGGCTAGCCTGCAACTGCGCACACCAGGAAGTAAGGAACACACCGCAGGAGAGGCACGTGCAGAAGAAACCCTTCAGAACAAGTGTTATTTGAGGCATGCTTAAGTTCACCAGGGCTCCTCTGCAGAACAGACTGATTTCAGGAAAAGCTGTGCTTTATTTTCAACTCAAATTCAAGGACTTATACTGATGCAACTTTAGAAACATTCTGGCAACAGGCTAAAAGCCAGCATGGCCCAGATCGCTAAACGCAAAGCCTCCATGCGGCGAAGCCCACCGCTGTTCCACATGCATGGGCAGCATCAGCAGACGTGGAAGTGGACACCTTTGGCTTTTGGCCAAAGTCTGAAAATCCTCTGCCTTTCTCTTCGGATTTCTGGAGAAACAACAGCCTAATTCTTCCTGTTTCTTACCGAGGTAACAGTAAACTCACATTTAGGCCCTGAGAAATCCGGAACATGGCTTGGCCTATAATTAATCAGGAGAGCTGATTAGTAGCTGTTTTCTCTTGCAGCTTCATTAGCTCCCCGGAATGACTCACCCTCTGGAGCCAGGGGATGGCCTCCAAGAGGCGTCATGACACACAGAAGAAGGTACAGATGATAAAGGAAGGAAGCAACTGGAATGTTCCGAAATCAGTGTTCTTCTCTAAACTGATGTCGTATCTCACTACACCACCCTGGAAGTGAGGAGATCACTCATTATTTCTGAATCATGGGTGAAATCCTCATTTCCTCTTCAGGTGCTGATGGACTGGAAATGCCCAGAGAGTCAGTGACCATGTGCTGAAGGCACAGCTGACAAGGAAGCTCATGAACATTGACAGGAGCAGAGGCGCAGAGACAGAAGGCTTCAGGGCCACTTCCAGTAGGCGTCTGCCACCCATGCCCTGACTCCTACCTTTGTGGTTGAAGATGCCCTCCATTTCCATGCTACTTCTGGAGTGGGCGATGCACAGTGAGCCACAGGGGACCAGGCCTTCGGCCGCTGGGGAGCGGTCAGTGGTCCGCACCAGACACCAGTCAGGCTTGTCGTGCGGCCGCTCCAGAACTTCCACGGTCTGGCCCCGTCGGATGGTCAGCTCGTTGCTGTTGCAAGCGGTGAAGTCGTGGATCACCACTGTCAGCTCACAGCCACCGGAGAGCTGAGGGGAACAGAGGAAGAGAGCACAGGTCAGCCAGTGTGAGCCATGGTGCCTTCAGGCACAGCTGGGAACTCCGTGAGGTGGGTGGAGAGCCTCCCCTGCCCCGGTGTGAGCTGAGTGCTCCAAGGCTGTGCGATCACTGTGCTCCCCAGATGAAAATACGATTTTTCATAAGAGCTTCCAAATTTCTTGAACCTTAGACATTCTATTTCCTTCCTCACAAAGTGGTATTATATATACACTCATCTTTTAACTTACGGCAAACTGAAAGAAACTCTGCTTGAAGGCTATTTGGGGGATTATCATGAAATATGGTGATAAAACGAGATAAAGTTCTGCTCCAAATTTCTGTTCCGACCCAGTGTTGGGTGTCCCATGCTTTGGAGTATGCAGGCTCTTTAAGCATCCCTTGGGTCAGGAAGGACGCAGCCACAAGAAGGGGACTGAACAGGCAGCGTGCTACGACCCTGAAACCGAAACAAAGCATGCCTGCCTGTCTTCAGAATCCTTCCAGCGCCCCCTCCTGCTTGTCCAGGGCTCCCCTTGGTGTGACTCCCGAGGCCCTGTGGTCTGCCCTCAGATTCCTTCCAGGCTCCCCTACTCCAGGCCTCAACACGCAGCAGCCACCACAGGCTCTGCAGACATTGGCTCGTTTCCCAGAGGTCCTGGATTTTCTGGCCTTCGGTTCCTCCAGCCTGACGTTCCTTTCCCTCCTTCTCTCCTTTTACCACGCTCACTCCCACCTACGCCTGCTGAAACTCTTCCGGGCCTTAGAAGCTCATCCATAAACTCTCTAACGACACATACCCCATGGCCTCTGCCGGTAAAACAAGTGCATGGTCTTCTCATGACTGTCTGCTTCAGATGGCCTGAGCCCTGGTGTGTGTTCCCTTAGACTGTAAACTCCGTGGGGACAGGGCTCATGTGCTCATTAACATCCTCCTACCTAAGAATCTTTTCGTTTTTTTTCTACATAAGAATCCTGAGAGCAGCTCCTGGTCTCTGCACTGTCCCAGGTTCTGTCTCTGCTGTTTCTCCACTGTCCCCCTGCATGGGCTCTTCAACCACACCCTCAAGCTGACTCCTCCCACGCTCGCGTCCCAACCGCGGACGGCTTCCGGTCCCTGCTGAGCAACTGGATGCTTCCCTGGCCCCCCAGTGCAGAGTCTAGGACATGACTCATGATGCCCTCCCACCCCCTAACTCTCTTTTTCTTCTGCTGTTGCCTTTTGGGTAACAGTATCACCATCAAGTCACTCAAGCTAAACAAACCCCACTCTCCTCCCTCCAAATGCTGTGGAGCAGACGTTGGGCAGCTCTCCGATCACTTCCTTTCTCCGCACTCCCATACCAATCACTTCACTGGATCCCACAGGGGCTCCTGAGCGGCCTCCCTGACAGACTCCAGGTTCTCCTTCCAAGCCATCTAAACACTGCTGGCAGGAGACCTTCTAAAAACACATCATCCTCTTATGCAAAACCCTCACACACAAAGGCCTTAGCATAGGATGCAAAAGTCCCCCCAGCGGCCAGAAGCACCTCCTTCTTCCTCCTGAGGGGTCCTGCCTGTAAGTGGCCCATACCATCCCTTTTGCTGAAAGCCCCCCCGTCCCCTCTATTCTAAGCTCCCCACTGGCTCTAAGAGGTCCCTCTCGTGCCTGTCCTCCATGGCACCTCAATTCTGAAGTGAGCCGTGCCTGGAGTTACACATGTGTGTGTCTGCCCTCATCACCAGAAGCAGGTTCACCCCACTCTTCTGTGAACTTTCCATCCTTGGACTAGGAGGGCGGAGATGGGGCTGGGCACACTCACCCTGAGTCCCCCAGTGCCAATGGTGGTAGGCATGTGGCTTAGAGAAGCGGTTAGGAGT